GACGGGGCGTTTCCTTCCCTCGCGGTAGTATTTGCCTCTTGCCCCGTGGGTGGGTGTGGGATATTGCCGTAACCTCCCCCCCCCCCCCCCCCCAAATCCTCATCATCTTCTCCGTGCCGTCGTGGGTGGAGTCCCTTCCTGGCTGGGACGGCTATAGATGAGGCAAAGGAGAGAATTGTCAGTTCCCGCATTGGTCAAAAAATGAAGTTTTTTTAGATTGGGTCCAAGTCGAAACGATTTGGTATCGAACACTTGAAAATTGTGTTCCGTTAAGAGGTCGGAGAGTCCATATTTTCATACCTCTGCAATTGGTGGGCATTACATGCTGACCTCTAGCAAACGTCAGTGACCAAATGACCAAGGAGGTTTTGAGGAAGTTTTTTTTGTTCCGTGCCTCTTAATATGGTTTGAAGGTGACACTGATCCGAGATGAAGAAAATACTGCTCCTGTAGTTTGGCCAGCATTTTGTTTATCTTGAGATGAATGCAAATTGTTGAAAATAGGTTTACTTTAATGTTGGGAATTTGGAGCCAGGTATATATTATAAGGCAAGTATAAAATAGTTTATTCTTGCTATACTATTTTAAATTAGAAAGTAGAGTAAATTTTATGTAGGCAAAAAAAATAAGAGTAAGAAGAAAAAAGTATTCCTATAAAAAGAAACAGTTTATTTTTAATTCTTCCTGTATAACATTTTTACTACAATTGGCCTTTTCACTCCATATATCAGAATGTATTCTTAACGTAACTCCATAAACTACCTGCACTGGATTAACATTTTAGTCCCATTACGTTTATGAAAAATATAGATAGTTTTATAAATCTAATGCATTTTATATTATATATTACGTTATAATTTATCGAAAAGACAATGTTGAACAGAAATTATTGAATGTTTTGTAAACAAGAATTATATCCCACTTTTAAACATTTGGTAGCTAAATTTTTTGTTGGGGGTGAAGATCCTCCAGTGTCACACAAGCCCTTCCATATGATTGCCAGTGTTCTGATCGAAGTGCCTTTTCAGAGACTCCACGTCTAGTCAGAGGGAATTGCTGTGTGTGGCTTGTAGTCAGTTTTGTAAATAGAATAGAATTCTTTATTGGCCAAGTGTGATTGGAAACACAAGGAATTTTTCTTTGGTGCATATGCTCTCAGTGTACAAAAAAGAAGAAAAGAAAAAATACATTCATCAAGAATCATAAGATACAACACTTATTGATAGCCATATATAGGTTATTAATAAGCAATCAAATCTTACTAGGAAACAAACAACAATATAAATCGTAAAAATACAAGCAACATGGTTATAGTTATAAGTGGGAGGAGATAGGTTATAGGAAGGATGAGAAGAACAATAGTCGTGGTAAATAGTTTGACAGTGTTGTGGGAATTAGTTATTTAGCAGAGTGATGGCATTTGGGGAAAAACTGTCCTTGTGTCTAGTTCTGGCGTGCAGTGCAGTGCCCTATAGCATTGTTTTTAGGGTAGAAGTTGAAACAATTTATATCAAGGATGTGAGGGGTCTGTAGATATTTTCTCAATCCTCTTTTTGACTCATGCAGTATACAGGTCCTCAATGGAAGGCAGGTTGGTAGAAATTGTTTTTTCTGTAGTTCTAATTATCTGTTGAAGTCTGTGTCTGTCTTGTTTGGTTGCAGAGCCAAAAAAGACAGTTTTAGTGGTGCAGATGACAGACTGGTAAGAGAAAGCAAGGAATGGTAATATAAAGCAAGCTGTAAATAATAAAATAGTTTGCTATACATTATCTACGAAGTATATGCTAGACATTTGTGTTGTACATTTTGTGATTTGCAGGAGCAAATGATCTTAAGAGAACAAGGATCCATGGTAGATCGTTATCTGATTTCATAGCATATAATAGACAAATACACAGGCAGCATAAATAGCCATTTGTCACATTTTTGGTCTTCAAGGCAGCCTTTGATTCAGTTTCAAGAGTACACGTGGGATGAATTCAAGAATTCCACTATTAATAAAAGATTAGTTTTGATAAGCTTTTTTGACAACACAAACTTTTATTCAGAGAAAAATGCAATCATTCCAGATAGTTCTCAAACCCTATTATAACTGCCATGGGGGATTTTTTTAGGCACCATGTTTGCTTAATTTTTATATAAATTCTCTTAAATTCACATGGGCTAAATCCAAATGGCAGAAAGCATCTATTTGTTCAGTTTTGTGCTATTGCTACCACCGTTCTGTCACTGACCTAGGTAGGCCTTGGAATAGCTGTTAAATTTCCTGCTTGATACTACATGTAGCTGCTTCTCATAATTGTTTAATGGGATTTAAATATTGTATTTTTCAGTCTAAACTGGTAAATCATTTTGATTCTGTAAACTTCTGAGAGGGTCCTAAGACCATACTTTAACAAACTCTGGATAGGAATATAGAAGTTGACATTTGACTCACCTTTTTATTGTTCTCATAATTTTATTGTTTATAACCAGGATTTCTGTTCTGATTAAGCCAGTGTTTATGCTTTTATATGACAGAATTTCAATTCATTTGGGACATTCTTGCAAGATAGGGACTAGTGAGAAGGGGATTAAAAAATTACTTTTCAGGGCAGGAGTGTCTTTGACGGACCCAGTGGATCCTTGAGAATTCTGTATCCACTGTATCTTTGTGGATCCTATGTTAGTGCATTTGTTGACCTCTGTTATAGAATGTACAGATAGTCCTCGACTTAAGACCACATTGAACCCAAAATTTCTGTTGCTAAGCAAGACATTTATTAAGTGAGCTTGCTCCATTTTATAACTTATCTTACCTCGATTGTAGTTATTCAGTTAGTAACATGGTTGTTAAATGAATGTGGCTTCCTCATTAACTCTGCTTGTCAGATTGTGTCAAAAGGTGATTTTGTGACCCCTGCACACTGCAATCGTCATAAGTCACTTTTTTCATAGCTATTGTAACTTCGAACAGTCACTAAAAGAACTGTTGCAAGTCAAGGATTACCTGTATTTAGATTCTGTTCATTCAAAACAAAATTAAAACTGCCATATTAGTATATGCCATTTTGAATACAGTCAATCAACTACTTATGGTTTACAGTCACTATCTTATTTTCTTTATTGAGCAATTACCTCTTGAAAGTGTTTGCAGTCTTGGTATAGGGATATATAATGCTAACAAAAACTACAGGCTTTGCTTTGGATACTAACATTTTTGGGGGAAAAATGTCTTGATGCCAGTATATTAAATGAGGATATGTAGGTCTTCATCTTACAACCACAATTGGGCTTGGAATTATGATTGCAAATCGTGGTCATGAAGTAGATTACCATTGTGATCTGACTTGATTTTATGGCCTTTTTTATATTAACTGAGTTACAATAATCATTAAGCAAACCATATGGTTTGATTACAGAGTATTGTACAGTAGTCATAACTTTGAAGATAGGTCATAAGTAGCTTTTTAAAAGTCTGTTGTATCTTTGAACAGTGGTTAAGCAACTAGTTGTAAGTTGAGATTATAGTTTGTCCCATTTGGGTTTCAGTGATATTAAAGACTAGACGAGACTAGTCTAGACTAGAGTTGAATACTATGCTGCACTGCACTGCACTATACTACTCTACACTATAGTATACTTTATTGGCCAAATGTGATTAGACACAAGGAGTTTGTTTCTGGTGCTTAAGCTTTCACTATACATACAAACAACAAAGTAATATATTCATAAGATACCAATAGGAGAACGTAGTAGAAAAGATGCGAGGGATAATAGTAATACTACAATACTACATGGGTAAATATCCTTAGACATAAAACAGTACTGTGGTAATCTGTTCAGCAGAGTGATGGCGGGGGGGGACGACGACTGTATTTGTGTCTATTTGTTTTGGCATGCAATGCCCTATAGCTGCATTATATTTATAATATGGTATAAATATAACTTATATATTATATAAATAATATATCAGTGATATATTTAAACTAAATCTTTTAAAAAATAGAAGTAACCTAACATGAAGAAAGCAAAAACAAAAATCACTTTATTTATATTAATAATATGCACATTTATTTTTATAAAACTTCAGGTGGCATACATAATGTTCCTACATCCTGTTTTCCCTGCAACGGCAACCCTGTGGGGTAACATTATGCTCACACCAATTTTTCTGTTAAATAGTTACATTTCCGTACTCTTACCATATGTAAGTAGTAGTTCTTCAGAACTTTAATTATGCGTAAATTCTAATTTGGAGTTGCCAAACGTGGAATAAATAGATTGAAAATAGCCTTATAGAAAGAAGAACTTTGTATGCCTAAAAAAATATGGAGACTTGACTGTCAGTGCTTTGCAAGCGATTAACATATAGTAATCAAATCAACCTAAGAGAAAAATGGGTGTAAAAAAATAATGGTCCATATCTCAACTTTTGAATTGTCAATTTTGTAATCAGTTACTATATTGCTTAACAAAAACGGGCTGAGCTCTTGAAATACTGATAGTATGATTTTCCTACCTTCCATAGGCAATCTCACATAAGAATAATAAGAATCTTCTGAAATTTTGTTAGATTTCTATGATTTCATACTAGATTTGGTGTTGTAGAAACCAAGGCTGCTGGGTTACCAGTGTCTTCCATGTGTAAAACACAATTGAAAAATATGTGGAACTGTACAGTTATAATTAGCAGCTCTTCTAAGTAGAATATAAATTGAACATTAGAAATTGAATTCAGTGCTTGGCTAGGATGAAAATAATTACTTGACTTGAAATTCTTAATTGCAATTTCATTTTTTCTCTTCCTTTCAGGTATCCTTGTTTCCTATGCACATTGAAATCTTATCCAGGATGCTTTTTTTAGTAATAATACTACTCTTTAATGGAATAATTTCTTACTCGGAGGGTAAATCTGTTAGCAAGTCAGTGCCAAGATTACTTCTGGTGTCTTTTGATGGCTTCAGGGCTGATTATTTGAAGAAATATGAACTGCCACATCTCCAGGATTTTATTAAGGCTGGTGTATTAGTAGAGCATGTTACCAATGCTTTCATCACAAAAACTTTTCCAAACCACTACAGTATAGTCACAGGCTTGTATGAAGAAAGCCATGGTATTGTAGCAAATGAAATGTTTGACATTGATACAAAGAAAAAATTTTCACAGTTTAATGATACCGATCCTTTCTGGTGGGATGAAGCAATTCCTATTTGGGTAAGCAATGAATGGCAGAAGAACAAAACAAGTGCTTCTGCAATGTGGCCTGGCACAGATGTAAAAATTCATAATACTTTTCCTCATTTTTTTATGAAATACAATTTTTCAGTAAGCTTCAAGGAACGTGTAGAAAAGATTATTGAATGGATGAATAGTTCTAATCCATTAGTTACTTTTGCTACTCTTTATTGGGAAGAACCAGATGCAAGTGGACACAAGTATGGACCAGAAGATACTAAGAACATGACTAAAGTATTACAAGAAGTAGATAAGCATATTGGCCTTCTTGTTGAGAAGCTTAAAGTTTCAAATTTGTGGGAGGAAATTAATGTTATCATTACAAGTGATCATGGTATGGCACAGTGCTCCCAGGAGAGATTAATCAAACTGGATGATTGCATTGATGCTAGCAGCTATGTGCTAATAGACAGAAGCCCAGTTGCTGCCATATTGCCAAATAGTAAGTATGTTCTTAATAATATAAAATCTATTACTGTTCAGTATTCTCAATGTTATAATATGTAATTTCATAAATAAGTCACTAATATTTCTCAGTTTGGTGAATATTTACTGATTCTGCTCAGGAAAATACTGAATAAGAAACTTTCCTTTATAGTATTTTTTTCAACTGAGACCTTTTACATGTCATATTAGTTAAGGTCAATATATAAACAAAGCTGATTCCAATCATGCTATAATACTGCAAATTTCTAGTATTATTATGTTTAAATTTATTATTGCATATAGAAAAGTCCTTGAAATAAAAAAGTTTTTTTGTCCTGAGCTCAGCCAAACTTCGAAAAGTTCACAGTGTCATCAGTACAAATTCATCATGTTTTGAATATTCCATGTTACACATATAACAAATATCAAACATTTGAGTCTTTTATTATAGAGGTCTAGGGAATCTGAAACAGATTGCTTGCTTTCTCATTCTAGGGCAATAAAAGATGAGATGATAGTCCATATTTACTGTAACTACCATCATACTTATGAATAGGCTGATGAGATAATTTTTAAACTTTAAAAATTCTCAGAGGTCATAAATTAGACTAGTTTTTTAAGTGTTCTGTCTACTACAAATAGCCATAGAGGCCTAGTGAAAAGTAAACCTGTAGCATGATTCTCTTCAGTACATTCAAAGAAGAATAGCAGTAGCAAAAGTACAATGAGATTATTTGCCAGCAACAATGTATAATGCAGAGTGACATTGCCTTTGCATTTGGTATGAAGCAAGAACACCCATAGAGCAATGCACAAAAACTTAACATTTGCATTTTGAATTTTAAAATTCATCATTTTAAAAGCATAAATCTTTAATTTTTCCTCAAGCTTTATTTGCTCACTTGTATATCAATCCATAATAATTTTAAAGCCTAAAACCTATCTATTTTGGAGGCACCAATAAGAGCAGGAGTAGAACTGGCTCTGCTGTTCTGTTGGCTGTGCTGAAAAACAATGCAACACTACAATGTTTAAGAATTTAAGATGTTTGGGGGGGAGCCAATATCACAACGTTACGGACATGCGGTCTTGATGCTCCGAGACCACAGCCGATACTTTTGCCGCTGGGTGGTCCAATCAGACCTAAACCATCCCAAAGAGACGGTGAACAGGAAGAATATATCTTGCTGACCTCAGGGAGATCACAAAGTCCCTGATCGATGCAAGCAAAGTTATTCAAGCCAGCGACAAAAAATCTAGCCAAGGCTGACGAAGTCGGGCGGCTACAAAACGGAAGGATATGGAAAGAGAAAGTGTTTCCAGCTGGTGAGGAACTTTTGCCATTTTAAAAAGAGACTGCCTATAAATAACTTAAAATTAATTTAAATTGGAGAAAAGAAGAAATAAGCGGTAGAATTAAATTTGGAATGGTTTTGGATGGGGTTATCTTACTTTTTAAATGCTATCTTCATGGATGGGATTTATGCAAGCCTTTTAAAACAAATGGATTAAGTTTTCTTCTATTTTTTTTCTTTTATTATTCTCTGTAACCTATGGACTAAAATTTTCCTCTTTCATTACTGTGGGTGTTCTCCTAACTCATTTAAGAATCGGACTTTTTTTCTTTTAACTTGAAATACAAAAAAGATACAAAAAGAAACAAGGAAAATTGCAACATAACACTGTTACTCGGAGGCTGGAAGGTTTGTGTATTGGAAACAAAACATTCTTTTTTCTTTCACTGATTATTTTGGTTTAGCACTACAAGGTCTTTGGTACTACAAGGTCTCACTACTGCTTGATTATTGAGAGTGATAAGAAGGAAAACACACAGATGTCCCTTTGAAGTATATCTTTAACCAGCAAAAAAGTGAAAACAAAACATTATTGTGAATCTATGCTTAATTTTATTAACCTTCCAAGCCAGAGCAGCTGTGTTTGTTAGTTGGAGATGATGGAATAATTTCAACAGCAGA